GAGGCCGATTTTGATGAAAACTAAAACAGCATCATTGAATTTTTGAAAAATTAACATTCCTAGCCAGGAATCGAACTTGCTGATTTTGAAAAAAAAAAAGACACATTGTATTGTTACACCAATCGATTGTGTCGCTAATATGGATCAAATTCTGGAAAGTAATCACATAATATGTCAAATTAAAGGAATTACATTTTTTTTTTATAAAATACGAATACGAAACAATAATACAAAATAATGAAGCGTCGAACAAAATCATTATTGACGAAAATTCACTCCAAGTTCTAATTATAATTTTTAACATTTTTTATATTATTATTTTAAATGAGAATACAGTGGTGGGAAGAAGATATATAGATAACATAACTTTGAGGTATCCTTCAATTTTAGTAATGTGCTAAAATATAATTACTTGTATTTGGCAGTGGGTGATTATGCACTAGAGATCCAATCAATTGGCGCCGTGCTTTTCTTAGCCGATGCTGTGGGTGGCTGCCTGATCCCGAAGGAGTTCGGGGAGGACTTGCGGGACCTCCAACTGTAGGTAGTGTGCAGGGTGGAGACTGAACCATCGATAAAGGGCTTAATGATACCTAGAATTGGATATATTAAGTGTTAACATTGTGTAATAAAGAAATTTTAAATATCCGTAGTAGATTACTCACCATGCGAGCAACACTTGGCCTAGAAGATGGCCCAGATGTTCCAGGTAGGCATAAAATAGCCAACCTTACAATCGCATGCTGTTGTGCTGTCTGAAAATAATAATAATGATAACTGACATACTCTTGTATTATAACTTTATGTAAATATACATGAAATCAATATTTTATTAGCACTATCTAGATACTACAATAATATACAGTCTACACCCTAATTTATATAGAAACTTAAACAAGTTATAGACATACATCAATATTTTATTAGCACTATCTAGATACTGCAATAATCTACATTCTTATTTATATAGAAACTTAAACAAGTTATAGACATAGTACGAATACGTAAATAAAATTTATTTCAAAATTTACACAGTCAACAAGATCACATTCGCCTTCTAGCTGTTTCGACTAAAGAATCTAGTCACTGGTTACACGCTCTATCATCAAGTAATCTCGGCACATTGCTTGATGGGGAGAGCTTGCGCATCGCCGTAGGAATCCGGCTTGGAGCGGCAATTTGTCTACCTCACCAGTGTCCCTGTGGTAGCAGCGTCGATGAGTTTGGGCTTCACGGACTTTCGTGCAAGAAAAGTGCAGGTAGATTTTCCCTTCACGGTTCTTTGAACGAAATCATCCGAAAGGCTCTTGTCTCCATAAATATCCCCTCGGTTTTAGAGCCTTGCGGGATATTTAGAGACGATGGCAAGAGACCAGACGGTATGATTTTGGTCTCTTGGGAGAGAGGTAAAGCCCTATTGTGGGATGCTACTTGCCTTGAAACTTTGGCGGCCTCTCATCTCAAGGGTACCTCTTTCAGAGCCGGCGCGGCATCAAAGGCAGCCGAATTTAGTAAATGGCGCAAATATGAGTCTTTGAGAAATGACTACATATTTGTGCCATTTGCTGTAGAGACTATCGGTCCGTGGGGTCCACGTGCAGTGAAGTTCCTAAAGGAACTGTATCCACGGCTGGTCGTCGCTGCTGGTGATAAGAGAGCTGGTACTTTCCTCGCTGAAAGGCTTAGTATAGCTATTCAGCGAGGAGAGGCAGCCAGTGTTCTTGGCACTATACCGCGGGGAGCAGGACTTTTTGACAATTTAAATGTTTAGTGTTAGTTTTTCTATATTATAGTTTCTTTTTTTATATTGTGTGTAATTAGTATTAATTGTAAATATTATAATTTTAATTATTATTTTTATTTAATGTTACACATATAATAATTGCTGTAATTTACTTTAATAAAATTAATCCACCCCTTTTTTAATTTAGCTAACTGAAAAATAACACATAATATACCTCTACAACAGGAACATTTTCAGCTGGAAAATTTCCAATATAAGTTGGCGTGGATTGCTGTTCCTGAAAACGTTCAAATATCAATCACCAGTCATTTAATTATATACATATTTGCATGTCAAATGTGTTTGTTAAATAATAAAGAACATCATGTGAAAAAATTAGAAGACGAGGGTTCTTCCCAAACTATTTCAGATATTTTAAATTTACACTTATTCTACAACTTCTTTACTTTTTTTGGATTATGTTATACAAATCATATCAGGGCTAGTAAATACTTTCCATCACCCAATAATTGATATGATACAATTATTTCATCTTAAATGATAATTATATTAATAGGTTTTTATTTAAAAATTGAAACTTTTAAAACATACTCGTGTTGTTTTGAAAATTTAATTACTATGCATATTTATATCATTTGATTTCAGTCAATCGATAAAATATAATACTTTAATTGGTTTTGTATGGTAACCATAGAAGTTAAAATAATTTGATTATTGTGTTAGACAAAATAACTTACCATTGGTAGAAACGAAACTGGATTAGGCCTATTAACTGGGTAGAAGCCAGCAAAGAGGGACTATTTTCAGAAGTCCGTTTAGCCTGGGCCTAAAAATTAAAGATGGAACATATAAATACATTAAAAATATCTGTTTATAAAATATTATTAAAGTAAACAGTTCAACTTAATTTAGGTTAAAATTTCCAATATGGACCACCGATTTAAATGCCCATATTTTTTTGTATTTGATTGAAATTTCGTATGAGAATCTGGTGTTTTTGAAGTTTGAATATTGAACATGAATAGTTAGAGTATTTAATACAAAAATAAATAAATATGTGTTGTATCATCTTGGGTGAAAAAGTCTAAAATTCAGGGGGATGAATTTGGGTAAAGGCGCTAGTTTTACATTTATTTATGTATAATTATGTTCATTTTTCTTTTTTAGTGCAGATTTACTCGCATCCTCAGAAAATATTCTGTTTTTTAAAATACAGTATCTCTTAATTGAATAGAATAGAATAGAATAGAATAGAATAAGTCATTTATTGTGCTAGTTGTAGGTTTAAGAGATTTAACACTATAAAAATAATTAAGTATCACCACAACCTGCCTAGATAAGGCTTACAATATTATTAAAATTATGGAACTTAAAACATCATCTCATTATTCATTAAATCAAATCAAATAACACGGATAATAAAGCATAATGTCATACAATGAATTATTTTAACAAAAGTGGATTATAAATAATAATATCAAAAGTACAATGGTATTATACCAGTATAATCTAAGTCTATGAATGGAATATTGATATATCAAAATACATGTAAGCTTATAACTAAAACGTAGTGATTTGAATACTCTTTGCTTAAAACATAATTCAGAAAATATTTCAAATGTCAATTAATTTAAAATGTAAGTTTGTAGCTCAAATAATCTTTTTAAGGAATAAAAACATCTTTCAGTCAATAATTCTAATAATTTATTCTTAAATTTTTTTATTTCTAATTCTTTTAATTTGTCAGGTAAATGATTATATATTTTTGGTCCTAATGCATAAAAACTTTTTGAGAAAAAGGCTGTCCTAGATGTGTGAAACGGTATAACAGTAACACTACTCTTTGTTTGCCTCGGGTGCTTAGCAATGTGCGAGTTAAAATAATGTAAATTACTTTTGACGAATAAGCAGGCGTGGTATATGTACAACGAGGGCAGATTTAGAATTTTTAATTTTACAAACAGAGGTCTGCAACTGTCTGTTTGTTTGGCACCAAACATTGCTCTGAGACACTTTTTTTGCATACTAAACAATGGCAACAGGTTAACATCAGCCGCGCCTCCCCAATGTATGATACCATATCTTAAGTTGGTGGCAACGTATCCATGATAAGCAGTAAGTGCAGCTTTTTGTGAGACAGTTTGTGTTAATTTTCTTAGAGGATAAACAAATTTACTAATTTTACTTGCAAGAAATTCGGTATGCGGTTTCCAGCTTACACATTCATCAACCAATACACCAAGGAAACGTATTTGTTTTACTCGCTCAATCAAATGCCCTTCATACTTAACAAAAACAGTCTCTTGTTTCCGGTTTTGGGGAAGATGAAACTGCATATATTTTGTCTTATCTAGGTTTATGACGATGAAATATGGAAGACACTATTAAGTATGAATGTAATATTTAATTGTTTGTTTTCCATGCAATCTTCTAGGAAGTCATAGTTTATAGAGTCCTTTAACAATTGTGATATTCTCAATTTAATATTTTCTTTTAAAGCCTCTTTTTTCTAAAAATATATTTATAACGCTTGCACTTTTCTCTACACAAGCTATTAAATTCTTTGAGGCGTATGTATGTTAGAGATTTTTTTACGTTTTCATAATTTTGGAACTCTATAAAATTACTCCCTCTGGCGTTTCGGAGACTAGATTTTTTTACAATTATTACAACTGTTTTTATTTTTTTTAATAATGAAGCCACAGACATAAGCACATGCTTGTAGTTCGCTACTTCAAGTTTTCGTAAAATACTTTCTTCAATTTCTTTTTCTATTTGGTATGCATGTTCCGATTGCTCTGTATCAGTGCATATGTGGCTGTGGCTGGTGTCAACAATGTTTTAAATTTTTTTTATAATGGCACTGTTGCCATCCAGCTCACAATTGCCTGAGCTAGTGTGTGCCATGTTACTTATCACAGCAGTTTTTAACCCAGCAACAAACTGTCCAACTGTTGGGTTACTATTGGAACCACAGTTGTAGCATACTAAATAAATTGTACTGTACTAAACTAAATGTAAATGTGTAATTGTATTGTACTAAATAAATTTTCCAGTGGGTCCTGCTGGAGTCTTCTCATAGAAAGACTTTTAAATGACTTATATTTGTCACTAAGGATTCTCCAAATCATTTAGATACCATAGAGGGTCCAAATCCATTCATCTTTTGATGGATGATTACCCCTGCAATCCAAAAATTCAGAAGTTTTAAAAAAATCATTCCATTGAACATTTGCAGATGTTCTGTAGAGTTTTTTCATGTTCGTCGAAAATTTTTTCCTCTTCTTAGGTCTGGTGTCGACGCGTTTACACCATCAAACAGTTCATCCATATATGTAATTAAATTGGCTGTTGCCACTGCTTCAGTCGGCATGTCTCCTGAAAATTCACAATAAACAAATAAAATCAATATAAGTAAGCATATTTTCTGGCTAGTTTTTTTAAACCATTTTTAATCCTTGCTCAAACCAGGATTAGGTAATAAAAAAGGCCAATATAATTACTAGACGGTTTCACCCTTTATAAAAAAGACAACCCCACATTAACATTTTGATGAAACAAATTTGTAAGAAAGGGTGTTGTTAGCTTGTTGTTAAAAGTTCATAAGTATCATGGATAATTATAAATGAGTTTGACTTTGAATATTAAAGATGTCTTATCTTTAGCTATTTTGGAATATATTCCAGCTGCAACTGAGTGGCTTAAAACTTGTGCTGCAAGTTTTACCCTCATTTTTTGCTTGGTATTGGGGTCAAGGTGCTCTTTAGTCAAGCATGGTGCATATACAAAGTTGGGATTATTATTGTCCAATTCATAGAATTACCTGATGTGGCTCCATTTAGCGATTCCTGTAATTATTAAAAGTATTACAAATAATAATTATAAACTAATGTACATATTTATTAATAAACAATTTTTTTTAACTACATAACAATGACTTACTAATTCCTTGTATGTTGTCTGATGTTATATTGGGCCTAAACTTTACATCATATTTCATTAAAAGATTTCTGAAACACTTCAGCAGGTGTGGTGTGTCAAATAGTGTGACAACTTTGTGATTGCTCACTTTTATGCAGGGATTCTCTATAGAAGCTCCTAACAGACCTAGAGCTTTCTTGTTGCCACCATCCAAGTCACAAACTGAAGCACATATATTAAGTCCAGCATCAAATCAAGAATTTAAGACCTGAAAGTATTTTAATACAGATTATTGACATAGTTTAGCAGAGTTAAACATGAAGATCATTCAAAATGAAGAAGAAATGCATACCTCCTTAATCAAAGCGGATATTCTGTCAGCTGTGACAAACCCACTTGATAAATAATAAGCCACTGGCTGCTTAATTTGCTTCCTAACTCCAACTACCATAAATACAAGGGCATATGAAGCTGCCTGTGGAGATCTACCTTGTGTACCATGGTCTTGGAAACCCTCAATATGATCCGCCTTCGAGTTGTACCATAAATTTTTTCTTAAGGACATTTCATCCCACAACAATATGTACTCTCGTTCGGATGGCCCAAAGTTTTTTGTTATGTTTTTCAACATGGTAAGTGCTGCTTTGTGTGTCGCATGTTGGTGACCTTTTGTAGAGCCTCAATGCTATTATTTTAGCTTGCATGTTCCACCTGCGTCCAGGTTTCTTCCTGCTATTATTCTGCAGTTCTCCTTGCAGTAACAGTGCAAATGATGAACTCATTTTTTTTATTGAGGATTTCTTTTACTGTTTGACTGTTACAAATTTAATTTTAAAATGCTTCATTTTTTAAATGTTTTATAGTGTTTTGTAACCTATACACTTTATATTTTTTATTAATTTATTATTTTAACTTTATTAACATTTTATTTTTCTGATCACCTTCTTGTTTGAAGACTCATACACAAACATTTCTGAATAATTGGTTGGAGCAATAATGTTTGGATTATGTTCTCTTAAAGGATAAACTGGATGGACCGGCAATAGGTTTAAATATTGCATAGGTTGATGTGGCAGATTAGAAATTGTTGTATCCTAAAAATGAAAGGTTAACATATTTTAAATAAAACAATTCTAATCCTTAAATTAAATAAGTCATAGTTAAGATAAGCAAATATGTATTAATATATAATTATATTTTATTTGGGCCCTTACAAACTTGTGAATTGAGTCATAAATCATTATTATCGGAGCTCTCTCTTACAGACCTTATGGAGACCATAAATTATGTGATCCTTATAACAATACTCAAACCGGTCTCGAAGCTTGCGGTGCTAAAGGTAAACCTGTGCAATATTTTATTGAAACTTTAAATTTCTGTAACTTACAACAATTTAATCAAGCGTATTTTTTATAGGATAGGGTGACAATCGAGCACATAGTCTACTTAATGGTAAGTGGTTGCTGTAGCCCATAGACACCTACATCTATCCTCAATTACGAATTTAAATGCAGATGCGTTGTCACCCATGAGGACTAAGAGTGAATGCCTAGTTTCCAGTAAAATGGTCTCCGGTTCTCTACACTCACAATACGTTACTTCTCTTTGCTCAATATTTTAATTCTGACTTCATTCAATCTAGTAACTCAACAGTAAACCTAAATAGTATAGCTTCTATAACAGTTAATGATATCTATTCAATCGAATTTATTTTTTGTGAATTAAAGAGGCTGCTAAAATCACTGGTTTAAACAAATCAGCTGGTCCTGAGGGGCTTCTGGCTATTTTACTAAGTGTGCCGAAATCATATCGAAACCTTTATCATTTATTTTTAAAAGTTTTAAATTCAGAGGGTTCAATGCCTGAAAGATGGAAATTCACATTTATAAATCCCATTCATAAAAAAGGCGCTAAAAATCAAATTACAACATGGGTTTCTTCAAAAAAGATCAACTATGTAGTAAGTGGATGCTGTGGCCCATAGATATCTACATTGATCTTATATAAACTCACCATACGAAACACAGCAGTATTAAGCTGCTATTTTACACTGGTATTCTGTGAGAGAGTGGTCCTTCCCAGGTCGAGCCGACCCATTTGTTTTACAACCATAATATAGCAGTAGCATAGCTCTACCACTTATAAAATGTACCCAAACCGATTACTCATTTGTGAGAGCTTCTAATTGACTTACTTTGTGAATTACATTTTATACCATATAGTAATAATTAAACTCTGTAAATTTTGCTGTTATAAATAAATAAATAAAGTCTGTATTTCTCTGCAATGTAAATGGCTTTAAATATGATTTTTTTCTATTTTTTTCTTTCTTTAGTACTAACCTTATAGCATTGAACATCAGGTACAGCTGTTCTGAACAACTTCTTCTCATTAAAGCATGTGCTTTCAAAATGTTTGCTGCAAAGCAACTTATGCTTTGAATGGAGTTCATCCTGGAATTTTGGTGAAGACCAGGCTTCGTTTGGAAAGCAATACTTTGCCCATAATTCACAGCCAGAAATTAAACAAAATTAAAATTAAATAACTGCTATACAGCTCACCTGATGGTAAGTGATTACCATCACCTATAAACATTATTGCTGGCCTTTTAAAAAGGAATAGGCTCTTTTCTTGAAGATATAATAATAATATTCTTAATTATTTTTTATCTAGATAACAATCTAAACTTTCTGTATTTCTTTTGCTTGAAAGAGATGTATATAGATTTGCCAGGTCTTAAAACTAAAAAGCCGGACAGACCAACGAGCATAGCCAGACAGTTTGGTAAAAAGGCCGGATACCCTTAACTTTTTAGTCACAGTATATAAAATGATAATTTTTTTGTATGTACAAGTAAAACGAGAAAGCATTGTTTTAATTTCAGTTACATCATTTACCATAAAATCTTCTTAAATTCTAATGAAATAACAATAAAATTGAATAAACTTGTCTTATTAATTATTCAATGATAATTTCAATAATTGCAATAGCATGTATGAAAGTCCATGAAAAATGTGAAAAAAATAGTCAAATTTAAAAATCCTAACAAAAGGCGGACACCGTCTAATTTGGCCAGACATGCAACCAAAAAGCCTGACTGTGTCCGGCTTTATCCGGACACCTGGCAACGCTAGTTGTATAGGATGTAATATTAAATATGGGAATGGTGTAAGCAAGAATAGATAAGTACCTGATGATTTTTGACAATGCAAGTTGAGACTTTATCAAAGGGTTACATTAGATATATGATTATGTCGTACCTATATCCTAGAATTAATCACTTCATGATGTGGTCGACCATTGCCGACCATTTAATAAAATGGTCCCGTTTCATGATCAGGCCAAATGTGAATGGCCATATCATGAAACGGGATAATTATTTGAAATGGTCGACCACATCATGAAGTGATCAATTCTACGATATGGTTACGACATATACATTTTACGTTAGTATGTGGTAGTTAGAAGCTGGATAAACCAAAAATATGGTATTGTATGTAGTTTAAAACAAAGTAAATACCTGTGTGTATAAAGTATACATATCGCAGAGCATTTCTAGTGTCAGGCTTTGGAAACCGATACAAAGTGATGCTGGAATCTTTAGAAGGTGAAGATCTACACATGATACAGATTCCAGTATTTTCTTTCTGCGAACTCATCGCGAAAATAAACACATTTCAAACAAGAAAAAAAGATTCACTATCTCAAAATACAGCCATGGAGGAGCAAACTCGACTCAACGTTAACAAATAATAACGTATGTAGAGTTAAATGGAACTAGTTTATTTATTACAAATAAACATAAATACAAGACAAATGGCGCTCAAGCGCCGGCAGACCGAGACATTTTTCTTGTGACGTCTTAATCATAATCAATATGGCGTGCGGACATTACTGTTGCCACACATTATCGCTTTATCTTTTTTGTTATTGTGTATTAATCAATTGAATACGTAATATTTCTTAGCAAAATATATTTTTGGCATCAGAATAATAACAATAGCTATTTTTAAAGGCAACTTACTTTAAAAATCGACTAATAAGCTCATTGTTTTGAAAGATACGAAATTTTTATTTTTGGTGGCAACATCATATAATTCATCTCTTTTACCTGATGTTGTTTTCTCTCTCTTGTTTCCTAGCCCACCTACATCTTGTTCGTAGAATAAAGTTGACAGACCCCCAAATTACTGATGTCAAACGTCAATCACTTCACGTTTCAATTAGTGTAGGGTTCCGAAAATGAATTATCGATACTTACTCGATACCAAGTATCGCATCCAAGGAATCAATACTACTTGGTATCGAGTACATTTCGTTAATTTTGGAAACTTTAACTTTACAATATGGACCATCGATATACGAGGTTTTAGGGGTGGGAGGGGCTGATGGCTATCCCCCTATACCATCCCCACCCTGCGCAACCCCATGATAATGGAGACATGGTCATTCCCATGGTCAAAGTTTATTATATTATTTATTATTATTCTCGTTTCCGTATATCTATTGAAATGGAGAGGGAGATATGGGGGAGGAGGGGTAAAATGAACTAGATTAAATGAAGAAAAGGGTGGGGCTTATGGGAGGAGGGGGGTAGTCGCGGGGAAGTCGTGCTCCGGCGCTCCGTGGCAGCTCCGGCACTGCGGGATGAGCAGTCCCTCCGCCCTAGCGAAGGAAAGCGCGGCACCTAAGCTCGCCTTCGCAGCTTCGGCAAATGAAGAAAAGGGTTGGGCTTACGGGAGGAGGTGAGGTTACTCGCGGGGGAAGTGAGGTGGAGGTTGGTTATTTTTTTTTATTTATATTTATTTAACATAAAAAAAACATAATTAGTTATTTTTACAGTCTGCCAAACTGCTCAGCAGTTTGTTGGCGAAAAAAATGCTCTCTTACTTTCTAACATGCAAAAAAGAAAAGAACTAGTTTAACACAATTATACTACCACTAATATGACAAACCAATAGTATTACTATAACATTATTCAATAATTTAAAGGATAACGGCATTTTTCAGTTAGGAGCGGGGAAGTCGAACTCTGGCGCTCCGTGGCAGCTCCAGCGCTGTGGGATGAGCAGTCCCTCCGCCCTAGCGTAGCCTTCGCCTTCACCTTCGCAGCTTCGGCTTTTTGGTCGTCTTCGGCGACCAGCCTCAGCCGCTACGGCGATCTCGGTGCCTCCGCTTTCCTACGGCAGGCGGGCACTGCTCTCCCTCCGCGCCTCCGAGCTCTTATATACACTCTAGGGGTAGGACACACAAGACCACGTGGATAGTGGGGTGCTCTGATTCGGTTTTGGGTACTTTTTGGATTTTAAATAAGTAAGTAAATACTTTATTGTAGTAAGAGTTAAATAATACAGAAAGTTGCAAACAATGAAATACAAGTACAAAGGTGGAACTAAAAAAAATAAACTTTATTCTATTTTATATAAATATTTAATAGCACTTATCAGCTCTTCATATGCATCTAAATGGTTTGTCATAATTTTTAGTTACCAAAATTAACAAAATGTACTCGATACCAAGTAGTACTGATACTTTTGATGCGATACTTGGTATCGAATTGGTATCGATACTTTCAAAATTTTCGGAACTCTACACTAATTGAAACGTGAAGTGATTGACGTTTAACATCAATTATTTGTCAAACTTATTTTGTAATTGCGTGTTCAGCGTAATTTAGCCATAGATAAACAGATGGCGTTGTGCTACCATTATGTTGCGATAGTTAGTATCACAGATGATAGATGGCGTTGTAAAGTAATTGTATTGATTATGCTGCGATAGTTAGCATCATAGATGGCAGATGGTGTTGCACAGTAACTGTATCGCGATATGGTTTGACTAAAATCATTTTGCTAAACGATGCTTCATAAATACTAAGTGCGCTGCGCCCTCCTTTCTGCCAAAGAGGATCGCGTTCGTATACGGCTTAGAGATCTCTAGTCAGATCGTTAAGCCAGTTCCTAAAAGGTTAGGTTTAGTGAGTAAAAGTCACTACATAACCACGCAGCCGGCTGCGTGGTATGCTATGAGCATTTTCAACCTCCCTCCCCCCGCTTTCCGGAGGGTTGCCCATATTTGCTTCGGGCGCAAAAAAAAACTAAGTGCAGGATTTGCAAGCTAAACCATCATTCTCTTTTACATCCTAAAATAGGTGTAGGATCTGTGGAAGGTAAAGCCAAGGACTATACAGTTACCGCTGTAGCTGTAGAAAATACAGCAGAAGATACCACGGAAACGCTGGCTACTAATACAGCTGTCGCTCAAACAAGTCAGTCTGTTCTGTTGGCCGCGGATTTGGTTCAGGCTGAATCAAAGGGGAGAGGAAATTTTACGCAGAGAGCTCTACTCGATCAGGGCTCTCAAGCTTCATTTATTATAGAGGCAGCAGTACAGTTGTTAAGGTTGAAGACTAAAACTGCAGAAGGACGCGTGATATCCGGAATTGGTGAAGAAAAGACTAAATCTACTTCAGTCTTTAATATAAAATTAAGATCATCCGTCAACCCTCAATTAGAAATTCAAGTGGTGGCTCATGTACTCAAATCGATCACTACACTTCTTCCGAGTAAAAGGGTAGTCAATTTGAATTGGTTGCCTAATAATTGCCTATTAGCTGATCCATCATATCACCAACCTAATAAAATCGATGTTTTATTAGGAGCGGAGGTTTATAATCGAGTAATCATGGAGGGTTTGTAAAAAGATTCAACTGGAACACTAGTCGCTCAGTGCACAGCCTTTGGATGGATAGTAAGTGGACTGGTCAACATGCAGGTTTCCTCAAACGTTGTGGTACTTTACTCTGTAAAAGAAGAAAATGAAAGTTTTAAGGAATTTTGGGAGTTGGAGGAAGAACCAAAACAGAAAAGAATACTAAAGGAAGAAGGGAAGAAGTGTTTAGACATATTTGAAAAGACTACACGAAGAGAAGAAACGGGAAGATATATTGTAAGGTTACCTTTCAGAAGTGAATCGCCTGCAACCAAGGACGGAAACTTAAGGCAGATAGCCTTACGAAGATTCCTGGCGCTGGAAATTTAGTCATAGATAAACAGATGGCGTTGTGCTACCATTATGTTGCGATAGTTAGCATCACAGATGATAGATGGCGTTGTACAGTAATTGTATTGAATATGGTGCGATAGTTAGCATCATCGATGGCAGATGGCGTTACACGGTAATTGTATCGCGATATGGTTTGTCTAACTTTATTTGCCTAAAGGCCGTGAATTAACTTTTATAGGTGATCCCAAAACATAATCTATAGTGGGATCCATACTGTGATCCACAGTGTAATTGTAATCTCAGTTGGAGATTAAACATTGCGTGTTATTTGCTAAAAAAGTTAAAAAAATTTCTATCTCATGAACAGTAAGTTTCCGCAACCTGAAACTTTGCAAAACGCTTTCGTTCAGTGAGTACTATCTACAAAAAAAATTTGAGCATTGAAATCGATGGTCCATATCGGAAATTTTAGCCACTTACTATGATAATAAAAATAATTGGTCACAAAATTACAAACTTTAGTCCATTGTTTCCACATCTTAATACATACCCCTAAACTATTGAGTTGAAGGACCAGTTTCTCCCAGATTTTACGGGCCGTGTCCCTTGCACTGGAAATTTTCGAAAACCCTTTTGCAAGGCTTGAATTCTTCTCTAAAAAATTGAGTAGTGCGTGAATTTGGGCCGTTAAAGGATAAGCCGCTCTTTCTACAGAGCTCAGATAACGGGGCTATAATTAAAACGAAATCATTAATATTACAGTAGTGGTTGACTAAGTTACAAAGAAACTAATATTATAACAAAAGTATATACTTACTCTTAAGATGAACATGGACAAAACAAAGATTATGTTTAATGTTCATGTCACACCTATGCCGGTAGTTGTTGGGAGCACTATGCTCGAAGTTGTTGACGAGTACGTTTACCTGGGACAAATATTCCGACTAGGTAAGTCCAAATTCGACCGAGAGGTCAATCGACGGATTCAACTCGGCTGGGCAGCGTTCGGGAAATTACGACATATCTTCTCGTCAGGTATACCTCAATCTCTGAAAACTAAAGTGTACAACCAGTGCGTGTTGCCAGTGATGACTTACGGATCAGAGACGTGGTCCTTCACTGCTGGCCGTATGAGGACGCTCAAGGTCGCTCAGCGAGCTATGGAGAGGGCTATGCTCGGAGTTTCTCTGCGTGATAGACTCAGAAATGAGGATATCCGCAGTAAAACTAGAGTGACCGACATAGCCCAAAGGATTAGTAAGCTGAAGTGGCAATGGGCCGGCCATATAGCTCGAAGAACCGATAACCGATGGGGAAGAAAGGTTCTCGAGTGGCAGCCTCGTACTGGTAGGCGTAGTGTAGTGTGAATCCCACTAGATGGAGGGAGGATCTGGTAAGATATGCGGAATTCGAGGGATGCAGGTGGCTCAAGAGCGTGGTTTGTGGCATTACTTGGGGAGGCCTATGTTCTGCAATGGACTTGTAAAGGGCTGTGATGATGATGATGATACTTACTCCATGTTATATTATATTCGGTATTTTATTAATTTGAACACTAAAATAAAGTTTTTGCTAACATTAATGCATGAAGTCACTTCTAAACGTCAATCGACTTGTAAACAAATATAGATTACATAGATATCTTTTTTCGAGA